CCAGGGTAAAATTATCTAGGTTTTCTTTTCTAATTTTTATGGAATTATATGGAATCATAAGTTTTCCAGCAGGAGGCGGGGGGTGGGGTTGAAAGATGGGAGCTCAGCTGTCAACTCCAAGAAAAAAAAAGTGCTCTTTATCTGTCCTGTTGTGGCATTTTCTAAAATTAACACTATGCTTGTCACATAGAATATTTATAGTACATAGTTTCCTGGTAAATAAATAGTTGCAAGAGACAACAGAGCTGATATAAAGGTTTAAGAAATGTGGGTATAAAAGTTGAATTTGACTTTGTGAAAAGGGATCAAACCACTAAGAAATAAAATGTAAAAAGAGAAATCAATTGCAAGATAAACCTTGGAGAATATATTTTAAGTTAGAAATGTAGGAAAAGCATAAGGCAGTGAAAGGTAACCAGAAGTAGAAAAAATGACCAAGATGGCATGATTTTCCTTGGCAGCAATGTGGAAAAGGAATTAGGGTTATTAGTGGCGAGAAAAAGAAGAACATCTAGAAGTAAATTTCAGACTAATAAATTCAGAGAAGTTGAGGAAGGTAGATTTGAGAAAGGGATTATTGGGTTTAATCACTAGGAGATCATTACTAATAAATAGGAAAGTCAACTGTAAAATCAGGTCAAAGAGTAAAGGTGTTGATGTCAGAAGTTAAGTGATGAAATGAGGAAAGCACTTTGCTGTCGTGTCCATATTTTGAGGTCAGTATTCCTCAGTGATGTAGCTTTTTCCAGACTCTACAAATTGCAAAGGGGATGATGCCTTTTCGGCTTATGAGGCAGCCTGTGTTCTTTCATTGAAATAAATGACGATTTACAACTGTAAAATCTGTAAAACAAAAATAAATCTTGCCCAGCTTTTCTCCCTTTTACTAAATCACCATGCAGAGTTCTCCAGACTGTGTCTTGTATGGTACATTAGCAGCACCAGTGAGCAGAAGGACTCAAGAGGAAAAGATGGTGTGGATGCACTATCAGCATTGTTATTGGCTTATATCATCTGGGCTTGTAATAAAAAGTGAGATAATCAGCAACTTATTTACACCCAGGAGATTATTATTTCTGCTGTTTGACCTGAAGTGTCTCTTAGAAGGTCTTGCCTTTGCTGAGTTTCTCAAAGTTGATATTAAATATTTAATTCAAGTAGAACTCAATGAGAGCATCTTTCACTACTCTTTTGCAATCAGGTTAGAGTTTCAAGTAATAAATGCAATTCTAATGTTAATCAGCCCAACCATTCAGAAACATAATAGTGTTTGATAGTGTAATTGTATGGGTCAGGAAGCCAAGAGTGAAACTGTGAGGTTTTGTGCTCCTTCTTCTGCCTATAGAAATGACTATGTATAAGATCCTGGTGTTGTCTAACTCTTTTCGGAAACTCATCTTTGCAATTGTTTTCAGAGTTTATGGCAGTTTGTTTTGTATATTCTCAGTGATAGTAAACCTTCCTCCTGTATTAAAGGCATTAGCAGGGAATAATTTAGAGATGGAAATGAAAGGAGTGATTCCTTTTCTAATCAAGTAATAGCAAAGTACCACGAGTAATTTCTTTGTGCAGCATATTTATAAGGTCCTGTATCCATGCTCTATTGGAGAAAATATCAATATTTGAATGCATGCAGTTTTAGACATTTGGGCATGGAGTGTTGGAATCATAGAACTTTCTCATCTTCAGATGGTCAGTTGAACACTGTGATTGACTCCTCCTCGAAAATCTCAATGGCATTCTTATACTTAGAGTCAGTGACAGTGATTGACCTAAGTAAAGAGAGGGAAATGGACAATATTGACAAAATGGCTAATTGTGTGTGTGTAGAAAAGGGATATTAAGAGAGAAATATCCAGAAAAATAGAAGATATAGGGCAAAAAGACAACTGAGTATGTGCCATGAAGAGATCAAGGATAAAGTGACAAGGTTGAGGGAGAACAAGGATTTTCAGGAGAGAAAGCCTATTGTTGTAAATAATGTTCATTGGAGAATTGGCTGAATAGCCTAGAAAAAAAAGTGATTTCTGTGTTGGATGAATTGTAATTTCTTATGAAATTTAGTATGGGTTTGTTGTTGTCGGGCTAAAGCCAATGTTTCCAGATGGTTGTAATAACCAAGAAGTCCCTTGACAACCCAAAGCAGACCCCATAACAAATGGAAAATGAAAGGTATAACTCCTTATTAAGGTTGTCTGTGTATTCAAATGGTGACATTCTTTATCAAGCATTCTGCTGTGGCTGCCGTTTCCATCACAGAAGCTATTTCATTTAAGATGAGAACAGTTTTAGCTAATAAATTATATTGCATGATGTTGCTCTGGTATCTGGGTGATGTGCCAGTGCTTTGAAGGAAATGAAATAAAAGAGACCCAGAGAGACTTTTATAGCAATTCTCTCTTTTCATATGTCATATTTTATCACTTTAAGATTCAACAAAAATGTGAACAGATTTAGGATTTCAGATATACATATATTTGTATGTATAAAATAAAAAATCACTGCAGAGTTTATCCAGAAGTGTTATAAATATGAAAGATCTTTTTCATGTATGTGACAAATGAACTAAGTCATCAAATACATTAAAGGTTATTTTCAACATCTGTACCCAGATAAGAACAAAAAACATGGATATAAATAAAAGAGAGTAATTTCACCTTGGCATTATGTGAATATACGAAATAAATATAAAGCAATACATTCAGTTGCTTTCTGAGATATATTAGTCTACTCTGCAAAAGACTGGGGATAAAAGAGATTTCAATTGATGTATTACACAGATGTAACTTAGAAATCCCAGAAAGACATAAGTGAAACTGGTTGTGGTGGTGCACACCTGTGATCCCAGGTATTCTGGAGGTTGAGGTAGAAGAATTGCAGGTTCTAAGTCAGCCTGGGTAACTTAGAGAAATTCTGAGAAAATAAAAGGGTGGGGAGTATAGCTCAGTGGTATAGCTTGCATAGCTTGATCAGGATTCAATCCCTAGCACCCTGTCCTCCACCCACACAAACACAAAGAAGTGAATTGAATATTTAAAGGTAAATGGAAATCTTTTATAAGTAAGGGTCACTCAAAGAAATAGTTAATTTAACCAGGCACAGTGGTACATTTGTGTAATCCCAATGACTCAGGGGGTTGAGATAGGAAGATCTTGAGTTCAAGGTCAGCCTTAGCAACATAGTAAGAACCTATTTCAAAATTAAAATAAAGGACGCTGGAGATATAGCTCAGTGGCAAAACAACCTTGGATTTAATACCTAGTATCAAGCAAAGGAACAAATGAAAAACCTGAAGAAATAATTTATCTTGCTTTCTTTTCAATTCATATCATATAATGATTACAAAAAAATTATTGATTGCTATGTATTGATTGTTTGGAACTGCTTATTAGAATCTGCAAATCTTTTTAGCAATGTTCTTATTTACAAATCTATTCTATAGACTGTTTTTGTGAAGGAAATAAAGTAAAATAAAATAGTACTCGCTTTATCCTTTAAATGAGGTTAATCAATTTAGAAATACGCTTGGCATTATATTCTGGGATATTAGGTTTTATTACTAGATGACTGATTTCCATTTCTAGGGTTGAAAAGACCCCTGAGATTGAAAAATACTAGGTTTTCATTCATTCGAAGCCATCTGATAGACCTGGACTAATGGCCTTAGGACTCTGCTAAAGATGGTTTTTATAGAGCATTACAGAAATCAGTTTGGGACAAAGTGACTCTTAATTCTCAGAGAGAGATATGCAAATTTATATTTCAAAAGATCATTCTGATTATATTGTGGAGAACTGAATTGACTTCTGACCATAAGTGCAGGAGAGAAAATAGTGGAGTAGATATTCCACTAACTGAGGTTAATAAAAAAGAAATAGTGTTAATTAAGAGTGTGGATTCTGAATTCAGAGTGCCTGGACATGAATGCCCTATCTGTCCCTTACTAGCTGTGTGACTTGGGTATGTCATTTTATCTTTTTGTCAATTTTCCCATTAGTAATTTGGGAATAATAATAGTTTCTACCTCAAAGGATATCATGAGAAAGAAATGAGTTAATAGAATCTGACAGGTACATAGCAAACATATGTAAGTATATCTGTTAGTGAACCAGGATCCTCAGAGTGGGTGGAACTGTAAATGGACCCCATCTGAGTATATTCAGGTATTACAGTGAGCAGGACTTTGTGATGGATTGACTTTGGGGGGCGGGGAAATGGAAAGAGTAGTGTCATATACTATCCACTGGAATAGTAATGTTGGAAAAGAAGAAGTGGTTGTAGAAGGAATGGGGACTTTCAAATACCATATTATCATGTTTGCTAAAAATCATGTTTCTTTGCCAAAATATTTTGTTAATATTCCTTTTCTCATGTTTTGGAACCAATGGGTAAAATCAGTTCCTGGGAAAGATTAAGATTAGGAGTTCTGAAATTTATTTACTTGATACTTGACTGAGGGTCACCAGTGAGTGAGAAATGCCTTTCTGGTGATACACCTCTTCATGGGACTCTGACATCACTTTCTCTTAAGGACGTGTAGTTAGCATTAGAACTCTATGGAAGCACACTGACCTTCTAATATAAAAGCATCATAAATACAATGAGGCCTTCTAAAGAAAACATTTGATAAGGAATATGCTGTTATGAATGTGTGTAAATCTTAGCTAACTATGGTTTGTTCTTACATTTAATGGCTATTACTTGCACATTTTTATGTGTCTGTCCTAAAATATTCCCATATTTTGTAGCTTGTTAAACAATAACATATTTCCTTGTAGCCAGAATTATTATGTTTTATGCTTTATAATTCTTGAATTCCTCAAATGGAGTGCTAATAAATGTTTGTAAATTTTCACAAATCATGAATATGAACTCCGTATTTCTTTCTCTGTTAATGATTTTGTGTATGATATATTGGATTGTCTTTGTTTCAAACAAATTTATGGAGGTTGCATGATAATTGCAATGATTTACCCTTTCTGTTTTTCTTGTTCTTCTAGTCTGCTCCCAATTTTCAAGAGGAGTCTATGCGATTTTTGGGTTTTACGACAAGAAGTCTGTAAACACCATCACATCGTTTTGTGGAACGCTCCATGTCTCCTTCATCACTCCCAGCTTCCCAACAGATGGCACACATCCATTTGTCATTCAGATGAGACCTGACCTCAAAGGAGCACTCCTTAGCTTGATTGAATACTATCAATGGGACAAGTTTGCATACCTCTATGACAGTGACAGGGGTAAGTGATAATATCTCTCTCTCTTTGTGATAGGTCACATTCAACATTTTGCCCTTGACATTTAGATGTGATGTTATAGAACTATGAAAGTATCTTAAAGCCCAAGAATCACTAGGCTTAATTTTGTATAACATGAACAATGCAATTTGAAATCTGGGAAACATAGTTAAGGTTAAAAAACAGAAGATATGAGTCCAGAATTTACAGAAATGAACGATATCAACCCAAGGCCCAAATGTTCAGTTGTAACATAAAAAGCAATTTCTGGCACCAGAAGCAAAGACTCTATAATAACTATGTTACTAATCCAAGGAGAATTAAGTGGCTTAAGTAAAATTTATGTAAATATATGAAATAAGAACTTTTATAGTTGTTAAGTATTTATACACAAATGTTTTATCAGTCAGGTAGTAGTATTTTTGCTTCCCTTGCATAAAAGTAAGATCACTAAATTTCAGAGAAGTTATGAGGTTGCTTATCATCAACCTATGTGTGTGGTATAGCTCAAACATAGTCTCTGTGTTCAGGCCCAATTTTTTTTTTTTAAACTCCACGTGAATGTTTATAATGAGATGTTTTTGATTAGCATGCCAGTCTTAACTCATTATACTGAAGTTTGTCTGAGGAAGTGTTTCACCCATGTTTACCATATTGCTTGTTGTGAAGTTTAATATTAGCATTTGGGCTTGACTTGCATTTAACAGATGCCCAAATGTTCTTAACCATCCCTTGGGTCCATGATTGGGCATCAGTAGGTCTGTGCAACCCATAACATTTTGTGTGACTTTTCATATATGTGTCCTCTAGAGAGAAAATCATAGGTAAAGGCAAAAAGTTAAGATACTCCCTTCAGTTGTTAGAGTAGTTAAGTACCTCATCATGCCTCCTTTGGCAGTTTCTTACTTATTTAAATGAAAATCAGAAGCCTGTTTCAACCAAGATAGGGCACCTTGTTACCCGCAAGGGCAGACAAAAAGAGAGCCTGCCATCAGTCAATTCTCCATTGATCAGTTTGTAGTCATTCACGGCAGCAATCCTGAGTCAGAGTGCTCATGCCAGGTGTCTGTTCTCTGCCCTGTCCTCCTAGCCCTGGGGATGAGCACATTCACTAAAAAAGCCAGTCAGCACTCTACAAGCTGAAAAAAAAAGTTCTTTTTTGTGCTATGTCAACAACTTTTTCCCAGCCTTGAGGAGGAAGTGCTTCATTCTTTCCACAGGGAATGAAAAACTAAAACAGAACCATTTAGAGTAAATACAGATTTCAATGCACTGAATGATTCTGAACAATACTTCTTATTAATATGATAAAATTGAGCTTATTAAATTATATTTAGTCTTTCATCTTGCTCTCTGCTAACTCCTTTATTGCATTGATTTTTTTAAAACCAGCCTGAAACCTGGGTATATTTTAAATGTCTTTTGACCTTTGTGTTCTGCTGATGTGATTTCTGCTACTCATGTCTATTTTAGTTCTAGACCCTTCTTTTCCATTGCCTTCCACGTAGGCCAAGACACCACCAGGTGTTCATCATCTTGCCTCTCCAATTCCACCCTTGACGTTCTTGAGTACATTTTCTACAAAACTTACAGAATTATTTATTAAATATTTATTTGACAACATCACTCCCTTGTTTAGAACACTCTGATAGCTTCACATTAGAAGGAGGAAGAAATCAAAATTCTTAGCATGGTTTTAAGACTTGAAAATACCTGGATCATGCCCAGTTCTCCAATGTATTCTGCTGTCTGCCTTGCTCATTCACTGAAGCTAAATCCATTTGACCTTCCTTTAATTTTTCAGATGGACCAAACTCTTTTACCTCAAATGTCCGCACATATCTCAAATTCTGATTCCTTCTTGACATCTGGGTTTATATATCATTCCCTCTGAGATGCTTTTCATGATGTTGTTCTCTCTTCAAATCAATGTTTTATTTTACTTCCCAGGACTTTTCACAATTCATAATTAATAGTGGTGTTGATTCTGTCACTCAAGAACTACTTATTGAGCTCCTGCTATATCCCAGGAGTGCTATGTCCCAGTGTGACTGATTTAGTCACATGGGCTTAGTTAGCACTGTTTTTCGCATAAGATCTGGCTATAAACTGCAGAAGGGCACTGCCCAAGCAGTGCCCAGAGCTCTGGGTATATACTTTATAACTAGATACCCAGCACTTCAGGTAGGGCTAGAAGCAGAGTTCATGTTCAATGAGCAGTGGTCATGAATGGAAGAGTTAAACAACTATGTATTTTTGATTCGAGATGATATGAGAAGCTGAATCTTACTCACTAAATTGAAACTCAGAAGATGAGCTCCTTTTTAGTATTTGACAAGGTTGAAGATGGCATTTTTAATTTGGGAACATATTTTATCATCACCCTTACTATTACTCCTACTGGATAAAACTGGTCTTTTGGAAAACATTCAAATAGACAACAGTTGACAAAAGTAGAAAAAGAGAAATTTTAGCCTTTGAAGGGAGATAGACAAGCATTGGGGAATTGAGAGGTGAAGATAGATGAACTTATGTACTTGCAGAGAGAATCTGGGACATTTTAAATGATTTTTATGAATGCTTTAGAAATAGTAAATGGATTGGAGTGGTGAGATAATCTCCAATTATTAAATTATACAAATTGATTTGAGTCAAGTGCATCTGTTGAGGGAAGAACATTAGAGGGATAATATTAAGTAATTATATATTAAAGCCAAAATGACCTTATGGATACATTTTCAAGGTATTATCAAGTAGCTCCCGATGTTTTAATGTGAAGAGTATTACACTGGTCTTTTATCTGAAATTATTTTCAGAGATAAATGTACAAGACTCTCAAAGTACTGGCAGAAGACTTGACTTTTGTGTGATGTTTTACTTGACTTATGGAAATGGGATTATTGATCTCTGATTTTTCTTATTAATGACTTAATTTTTATGACTTTGACATTATATTATATCTAAAAAAATGATTTCTGTGTTCATCATGTGAGCTGCTTTCTTTCCTCTGGCCCTTAACCCTTCTTTGATGCTTCAAGGACTTTCTTCCTTCACTGTTCCATGATTTGGAAATGAAAAAGTGCATCCTCTTTTCCCTTTGTCCATATTAGTCATACTTTTAAAAATAGATTCCATGGCTCCATCTCTGCACTGAGATCTCTACCTACTGCAATATCCAACTATTCGATCTGTCCTTGGTGTGGTACCCTATCTACTTCCTTGATTAGATTATTTTGTTCAGTGTTCTAATAATCTTTACTTTTCTGAAGGGGTAGGTCAGGTCAATATTCTGTTGAATTATACTATCTAATAAATTAATGTTTTCTTGAACAATACAGGGGCCAATCATGAAAACGGCTCAAAAACATTTTGCTCAGGTTATCAAATAGATGAAAAAGACTTAAAATTGTTTTATGCTATTTCATTCCTGTGTCGGAATACATCCAATGCTGAGCAACAGGTCCAGAGCTTAGATCCCAATTACAAACATGGAAAGACATGGATGCATCCTGATCTTTGTGTAGAAAGATCTTCATCTAATCTCTAATTCACTGGTGACAGGATTGCTGAACCTGGCAACTTTATGCCAGGGAAACTTTTAAGATTCCTGCTGTCTTTTCTTTATCTAGACCATATAGCAGCAGCCTGGCACTCTGAGGATTCAGACCCTTTTCTAAAAGCTGGATATTATTACTTGTGGGCAGATAGAGCTTCAGTATATTTTTAACTATAGAATAATTGGTTATCTCTGTTAATGCATTAAATATTATAGTTTTAGTCTTTGGATATATAGGCATTATATTTAAATCAGGCCTTAATCAAAATGTGGCTTTTATTTATTTGTTCAATATTGACAAGATAAGGTAATACATCTCCATAGACAACACATAAAAACAGAACTAATGCTTGATATCTTTTTGTCGGTTTCAATTTGGAGCAAATATTACTTGTCCCCTGAAGGGAAAGCTCTTTGATTCCAGTTCTAGACAACATAATGCATACAGCAAAAATACTTTCAAAATAATTTTTTTTCTGATGTGCCTGAGAGAGCTGATGAGGGAAATATATGTTAATCTAATCTGGCCTAGGCATGCTGCCATGATTTAGTGATCATAAATATTAACTACTTTGCCTGAAAGACTGAATAAGGACAGTGAATTTTAAATGGAACAAAAAAAATATTTTTAAGAACAAAGACGTGGACTGAATGAAATATACCTGTTGGCAGGATTCATTTTAAATTTCACCCTTTAATGTGTAAACAAAGACGTCTAGACTTCACTTGCTTTTAGGCTAATGGTTTTTCTATCACACTCTCTCTTTCTCTCATTGTTTTCTTTAATTAATTTGTTTTGATTTATATATGACAGCAGAATGCATTACAATTCTTATTACACATATAGAGCACAATTTTTCATATCTTTGGTTGTATACAAAGTATATTCACACCAATTCGTGTCTTCATACATGTACTTTGGATAATAAAATGTCCATCACATTCCACCATCATTTATAACCCCATGCCCTCTCCCTTCCCCATCTACCCCTCTGCCCTATCTAGAGTTCATCTATTCCTCCCATGCTCCCTTTCTCTACTCCACTATGAATCAGCCTTCTTACATCAGAGAACATATTCGGTATTTGGATTTTTGGGATTGGCCGACCTCACTTAGCATTATCTTCTCTAACTCCATCCATTTACCTGTAAAACCATGATTTTATTCTCTTTTATTGATGAGTAATATTCCATTGTGTATATATGCCACATTTTTTTATCCCCTCTCATTGTTTTTAATACTATGTCTAGATGAAATTTCACTTTGAATTTTAGGGAGATTGTCAACTGATGACTAGGTTATACAGCTAAAGCACATTAGTAACAATAGGTATATGAAATATTACTGCAATTTAAAAATCTTTTAGTGTAGCCATTCTTTACTTTAGCCAAGTGCCTGAGAATTCAATAATACTGAGAATTTAATTTTATACTCGTAATATTCTTGAACTGTTTTAGAACATAATATATTTTAAATATATTTATTAAGAGAAATAATTAATTCCCCAGATGTGTTTCTAATGGCTGTGCATATCAACAGTTTTCTTTGTTCAAAGTAATTCAGAAATAAAAAATCAGAAATTTGAACATGCTGATACAGTAGCATGAATATTAGATTTGACTGATTAGTACTTCCTGATAGCTTTAAGTAAACCAGCATTTATGTAGAACTTCCATTGTCCATACAAGTTCTGCTTTCTGCAGTGATTTAGAAACGAATTCTGAATTAAGAATTGTTCTTATAAAGATATTCTGTCTTAGTTTGTGTGGATGGTAAAGAGGCACATCACAAGAAGTGCTTTCTCTCCTAATTAAAATATGGCTCCCAGAAACCAACAGCATGAATTTGTGTAAAGAGTTTAGTTTTACCTGTACAGTTATATATGTTTGGTTATATTTACATTTTAAAATCATCTATTAACTATGAAGAAATGAGATTTAAAACAAAACTTAGCTGTGAAGAATGGGGAGATCGAGTAGAGAGGATTTACTCCTTTACTATGACTGCAAAGAAAATGAGTTACTATACAAAGAAGAATGTCTCTTCAACTTGTACTTCAGATCATACCCTGAGTTGTGAATGACTTGTGGCTGCTCTTAGGAGGTGATTTAATTTTATTCAGTGTCTTCTGACTAAACCAAATCTATCAAATCTTATATAGTACTGCTTGAACAATTTAGCTCCTTAATAAATAGATATAATTTTGGTTGGGTCCCACAGGTTTCAGAATATTAACCTTAATAGTTTTAATAATGGAGAATCTACATAGACTACAAGTTACTGTTGAAACATAAGATGAATGAGTTTGAAAGTTAGACATTTATTTTAAATGTATTCTTTTCTTTTTTATATATCATCTCCATATTCTTTGACAGGGTGAACTGCCAATACATTTTAGGTTGAAAATTATCTCTTGATGAAACCACTCACAAATTGATAAATGGATTTAAATTTAAATTTTCTTGTAGTATCTGTCAAGAGATGCGACAGAATATCAAGTGCATCACTGCTGGAAATTTTTAGTATGTGGGGAACTTCATAATTCAATGAAAACAAAATGAAATAACATTGCATAAAGGAGAGTCACTAAATTGCCATATGATAAAAAGTGAATTTTATATAGATCATCACTTCTAGATTTAATGTTTTTAAGAAGGTGACAAGGAGGAATTGTACAATGATTAGATGTGGAAAGTAGGACTTAGAGAATGTAGGAGGTTTAGAAATTCAGTTTTTTTTCCCCTCCTACTGGAAGAGAATGTTGGATCAATTTAACAGCTGTTTTCAAGCACGCTAATAGTTGTTGAATTGATATGATGACCAGCTGTGCATATTCTTTCTCCACTGATGATGGAAAACAGGGAAGGAACTTGAATTTTAGCTTGAAAGAAGTTAATTTATGTAGAGCAGGCAGAAATTATAGGCACTCTCGGATGTATTCTAAAGTTTTACCAGTGAAAGTTCTTAAAAATGGCATGTGGTCTCTTTAAGTAACCTCTCAAGAAATTAATATTTATTTCTTCTGTTACAAGATTATCTGCAAGAAAATAATTTTGCTGTTTTAGCAAAATAAAATCAAACTTAAAGTTTAGCATCTGGTTCAATTGTCCAATTTGAAATAAAAGTAAATCATTTTTAATGTTCATTATAAAGTATTTTAAATTATGAAATAAAATCATAGAAAGACCCCAAACATTCTTAAGTTATTTTTATTAGTGAATAAAATATAAGCAATTTTGTTTTATCTATCATATCCTTCTGCTTTCTGTAGTGATTTAGAAACAAATACCACTCCCAGTGTGGTGATGCATGCCTATAATCCCAGAGATTCAGGAGGCTGAGGCTGGAGAATTCAGGACAGCCTCAGCAATTTAGCAACTTACCAGGATCCTCAAAATAAAAAATAAAAAGGACTAGAGATGTAGCTGAGTGAAACTATCTCTGAGTTCAGTCCTCAGCACCATAAATTAATTGATTACTTAATTAACCAATTAATTAAAAGTAAAAAAGAAAGAAATGCCAGCTATCATATTCTTTCATCTGTAAATATTTTGGTTATCTATTTATAAAAGAATAATTCTCTTATTTTAAACACAACTACAGTATCACTATCATACTTGAAAAAAATCATTAATGTTATCATTTTTAACTGTTTATTCAATAAGATCAAAATGAGTTCCATATATTACCATTGGTTAAGATGTCTTGTCAGAGTTTTATAATGTCATGTAGCATTGCCCATACTGTTGATTTTGATAGCTATACCCTGGTGTTAACATGCCACTCTTTGACAGGTATTTCCTAACATTTGGTAATAGAAGCTTGATGAGGTTCAGGTTTACATTTTGAGCAGGAATGTATCACAGGTCATGTTGACTGTAACCATTTAAAGACTCATATCCATTGTCACCTTTCTTTTTGTGTTGTGACTATCGGTTGATGATTCCTGCCTATATTCGTTTCAGTAGGTGTTACAAAATAGTAATAATTCTAAATCTATATTTGTCCATCATGCATTACCTAGAGTAGTTTTAAAATGAATAATCTTTGACTCATTATTATCCTGAGTGTAGCTCACATAGGAAAGAAAGGAAAAAGCTTTTTTACTTCTATATTTGTCAATTTCAGAAATAATTGGTTCCAATCCATCAAAGGCAAAAAAAATTTTTTGAACAAATTATTTTAAAATCTCGATTTTATAGATTTAAAACATTTAACTGATATTCAAATTATTCTATCTTTTAAAGAGGTTCTCTTCAAATGACTCTTTGTCTTTTGATGTAGTTCTCTTTTGGAGGGTGTGCTTGTTTTCTGGTATCACAAGATATTTCAGGCTCATTTTTTATACTCTTTGGACAATTTTGTGTCCATAAATTTTTTTTTCTAGATTGGAATAGTGTTTGACAAGATTTGTAATTGTTGTATTTCTCCTCTTGGTGAGGGGATTTATGTAAAATTGAGGATCTAAATATAGGCTGTAGATGAATTGGAACCAATTATTGTAGAGAGATATGATCAAATTAGGCAAATCTCACATTTTATAGATAAAAAGGGATCAGTATTCTTTTGAGAAATGTGTGGACCTTCCTGGAAACAGGAGGAATTGATATGTGGAAGTCTGAATTTCTCCTGGAATGTTGACTTTGTGTTGTTCCTTAAGTTATTAATATAAATTGTGAACTTGGCTTTACTGTGAAAAGTTGATGTGATATGGAAAACAAGTTTTTTATGTATTTTCTCCAGGACAAAACTGCAGATTTAGCTCTTCAGGAAGTAAATCCCCTAGTTGTTGACTTCTTCCTACCTACACTATGTTGATAATTAGAAATAATAGTAAAAATTTTCTAAGTCATATAATGCTATAATCATTAGTAAGTAGTAAAATAGTCTTATATTTAGGAAGTGAGATCAGTCTGTAATAGAGAACTAATTTCAAACGTCTCATTAGTAGGTGAACATTTTAATCTCTATGGGATCAGAGCCAATAACAAAAAGTAATATAATAGAAGGCCAAAGGGAAAAGAAAGGCAATAAAACTGTTGACCAGGAGACAATAGGAAGAAATATCACAACCCACAACCCCATAGACATTATTGGCTCTTTCACTCCCATAGATTCATAGAGATTCATCTCATGGAAACGTGTACAACCCTTCCAGAATGTTAATATCAAATGATAGACAATTGTATATGACTAAGTCATTTTTTACTCTTTTGTAAGAGTAAGAAATGTTGTGATGTCTTTAGATTTCACTTAATTCAGAGATATTAAAGACATTAACTTTAGTCTTATCCCAAAGAAAACAGCAGAGAGGATTCAAAGAAAGTGATATTATTATTTTTATTTAAAGAGAGAGAGAGAGAATTTTTTAATATTTATTTTTTAGTTTTTGGTGGACACAACATCTTTATTTTATTTTTATGTGGTGCTGAGGATCGAATCCAGAGCCCCACGCATGCCAGGCGAGTGTGCTACTGCTTGAGCCACATCCCCAACCCCAAGAAAGTGATATTATTTTCCCTTCCTTTTGGGCAGAACAATAGCATTTAAGTAATGAGTTTTTTTTTTTTTTCCCTAATGTGAAGCAGACACATGTAGATATTGATAAAGATCAGAGCCATAGCACATTTTTGAGGCATCAGCTTCTCCTTAGTTTTACAAATAAATCAGTCTTAACAAATGTATACACTGGCAATGTGGCAGCCCAGTTCTGAGTTATTCACGTATTTTCATCAGTCATCATTTTCCTTTGCCTTCCCAGGCTTATCCACACTGCAAGCTGTGCTGGATTCTGCTGCTGAAAAGAAATGGCAAGTGACTGCTATCAACGTGGGGAACATCAACAATGACAAGAAAGATGAGACCTACCGATCACTCTTTCAAGATCTGGAGTTAAAAAAAGAACGGCGTGTAATCCTCGACTGCGAACGGGATAAAGTGAACGATATTGTAGACCAGGTTTGCTCCTCTCTGTTGTCTAATGGCACCAAATATAGAATATGCATGCAACCTCAGCGTTTGCAAAGAGCATTTGTGCTAGGTTCTTGAACAGCGGTTTTCACTTTATGGTTTATGTAGGATGTAGCAAAAATCATCAATTAAATTATATCTGGCTTCAGTTAACAATAACAGATGGTTGTCAATAATGCAGATGGATCATATTAATCACTAAATAAATTCAATGTATATTTCCAGAGTTGTGTTTTACATGATAAGTATTGCCTTAAACCTTGATATTTTGAGTTAGAAAATCTGAATTCCATTCTGTTAAAAGTTTTTAGGGATCAAGAAATAGATATGTTTTAAAGTCAAAATAAGTCTGAATTCTAGAGTAAAAGCAAGTGAATATTTTGGAGACACGTGGATTATTTCAAATATTAGAGTACAGGATGGTGTAATCTCAGTACTAAGTCCATATTATTCTCTAACTGGATCTATAGCTCTAGAAAGAGTGTACATTTATTTTTGTAAGAAGTAATTTTGTCTCTATATTAGGGGATTTGTGTCACTATAAAAAAACTGTAATCTCTGAAGTTAAAATATGAAGGAAAGGCATTCAAAGGTGTTCACTACTTGAGAAGTAAATTACAAGTATCCATTTGGACTGTTTGAAAGAATCACAAGATAACAGAGATAGGATATTTTTATCTGTCCTTACCATATTACGCTGCTTCTATTTAAGATCTTTAAGAATAGGACAACAATCAGTGATATTCTAATGATGAAAAATAATATCCATCATGTTTTAAAGACAAGATAAAAGACCAGGGATGTATTATGATTTATTGATAAAAATTTCCTTGGATGGTTATCTGTGTCTTGTCCTAGTGCGCTCTCTCTCTCTCTGTCTTTCTCTCTCTTTCACATACACACACACACACACACACACACAAGCACACATGTGTGTTCCTTGGAAGTATGTATGATTGGAAAGAAAATTCACAGTTGAGAACATCTTTCTTGGCCCATCTAGTTATATTTATTAATTCATTCAATGGAAAACATTTTACAACCATACATGTTGATGAAGCCCTAACTGATTTATAATACAGACCTTAAAACATAAAATATGAAACCATCATGAAATATTGAATAACTAAATAAAACTAACTCATTTATGAGAAAGAACTAAATGTTGTACCCCAGAAAGATGAGTAACTTCAATTAAAAAATCTTAATTCTAGTCTCAGGAGATGAAGTTAGGATTGTTTTTAACCTAAAGGTCTCTTGTTCAATGTGAACCTCAAAATCTCATTTGAATTTCAGAGGAGGTTCTCATTAAAACTGAATTTTAAAAATATTCATTAGCCTGGTTAAACAAGTTTAATTATTCCTGACTCATCATAATAAATGTTGGTGAAAGCATATATAGAAATATTCAGAATCAGAAGAGTGAAACTGCAAAAGAAAGTGGGACCATATGAAAAACTATGTTTTGAAGTAAATATACGATTACTGGTATTGACATCAATTCAAAATGCAGAGTGTTTTGCATGTATATGTATTAATGTTTAATGTATTAAGTAAGTGCATATACTTGGTGGTATCATTCAAGAAACATTTATTGAGGACATTGTCTGTCCAGAGTGAAGGATCCTAAGAAAGACAAGCTAGAATGGCATCTGTCCCCTATGAATATTATTTATAGGGGAAGAAAAAATGTACCCCTACAACACTATAATATTACAAGTTATAATGAAAGTGGTTGTGTTCGCTTTCCATTGCTAGATTAAATACATCTCTGGGCACTGTATCTTATGCCTGTAGGCCCAGAGGCTTGGGAGGTTGAGACAGGAGGATTAAAAGTTTGAGACTAGCTTTAGCAAGTTAGCAAGGCACTAAGCAACTTAGTGAGACCCTGACTCTAAATAAAAAGGTCTGGGGATGTAGTTCAGTGAATAAAATGCTGCTGGATTAAATCACTGATACAACAAAACAAAACAAAACAAACAAACAACAACAACAAAACCCTGAGATTAATCAAAGAGAAAGGTTTATTTTGCCTAACAGTTTTCAATCTGTGGTTGGTTAACCCACTGCTTTCAGGTCGGTGGTGAGGTATAGTTCATCATGATGGTATGTCGTGGTATGCTCACCCCATGGTGACTATGAAACCAAAACAACAACAACAACAAAGAGAGAGAGAGAGAGAGAGAGAGAGAGAGAGAGAGAGAGAGAGAGAGAGAGAGAGAGAGAAGGAGACCAGACTTTCACAATCCCCATGGAGGGCATGCTGTCAATGACTTAAAGACCTTTCACCATGCCCATCTCTTGAAGGCTTCTGCTTATAATAATGCTAAGTGGAGGACCCAGACTTTAAGACACAGGCCTTTGGGGAAATTTAAAATCTAAATTAAAGCAGTGAGCAGAAGTCAAGGAACATGGAGGATGAAGTACCTATCTTTCCAGGGAAAGAATAATCTGTGAAGTGTTCACTTAGAAGGTAGCATTTGGCCGGATTGGATTCATCCATTTATTTATCAAATAGATATCTCTGTTGGCTAATGTTTGTCAGACAAGCACTGCGGTGTGTCCAAAATAGCAGTGGAAAACAAAATAGGCCAGCTCCACTGAGATAAATTAATACTGAATCAGAAATTAATATAGAATTATACCAATGGAATATACTACAAATGAAAAGAACAGAACGTTCTGAGAAAAAAAATTTAGATTTGGATATTCATCAAGGAGTAGAGTTGACTAGGCAAAAAGTAAGGATAAAGTACATTTTAAGAAAGGGAAATGCTATTTATTCATTCAACTAGCAGGTAAAAAAGAACAGAAATGAGATGAAGCCCTTTATCTTCACGATAGTTTGAAGTTAGCAGTAGAATTAAACTGTATTCAATAATGTATATTACTATCATTTATTGAGACTTTGAAGACATTTATAGCTGTGATTAGGTAGCAAAGGATCTAGTCATCAAAAAATTTAGAAATTAACACAAATTTCTATTGTTGGTATAACATTACGCGTTATTATAAAGGAAAGTTACAAAAATCAGTATGGTCAGCACTAATTTTTATATAGACATGAACTAGTGAATTTTCATGTCCCCTTTTCTTCTCACAATGTACACTAAACTCAAGTAAGGAGGCTGGGATCACTGTTTTACTGTTTATCTCAATTCTCAGAAGGAAGACATAGATGCTTTAGAAAGTAGAATGTACAGTAAACAAAGCCAACAGATGTCCTTAAGATATGTGAAGGACACAATCATCTTAATTAAACTGATGTCAGTTCACATATTTTTCATTCAGGACATCTTTTCTTCAAAATTCTCTCTTCAACATGGAGGGTTCAGTTTCTTGTGAAAGGCAACTGAGTTATGTTGCCTAAAAACGGGTTAGAAAACAATAAAATCTCTAACTTTCTTTTGAACAGCTAACACTTCCTATCCAAGTGGCATATGGTAGAATCCTTCCCAGGAGTTTTGTTGTTGGTGTGTAAGTGTGCTGCTTTGGAGCACCTGGCTTGGTCTGGGTTGATGGAAAGTCAGGGAATTCCTCTCCCAGCAGATGGGATGATTAGGCTGAGATCCACTGTGCATAGCCTGAAGTGATGGGAAAAAGACTTTTGTGTGCAAAAAAACTAAAAGATAGCCATGTAAGAATGTAGAATGGAGAAAGTAGGTTTGAAGAAGGTCACAAGATCTTTGGCATTTAAAGCACATTAAAAAATTATGCTTATTATGCTAAAACAACGGGAAACCACCAAATCGGTTTAATCAGGAAAGTGAGCTAATGGTTTGAATTCCTGTCTACAGCCTTGGCATTTCATACATTCCATTGGTGTGATCATTTTCTTACAAATAGAAATTTCATTTGAATGCGGATGACCTTGGATTTAGGGTAGCTTACTTTATGATTTTTCAGCTGTATAGTGGTATGAGAAAGCCATATGCATTCAGTAAAGTTCTACTTTGAATTTTGAATATTAGACTTTTCCTGGGCTAGCAGCATGCATGTGATATTCTCTGTGATGCTGGGGTGGCAATGAGGCAGACCTCTCAGTCTACCATGTCATCCCAAGTGACAACACCCCATACTCTAATGTTTGTTAAGTGTATTCTATGCATGCTTGACTTCAGATATCTTCATGTTACAGTGGATTTATCAGGACATAAGTCCATTGCAGGTTGAGGATTAACTGTGACTATGTACCAGTACAATGGCACAGACATTTCAAAGGTACCTACTCTCTTTATAACTGACATAGGTCAATGAAAACTAAAACTGATTCAATAATGTCCAAAACTATTGAGAGTGTTATTACCAGGGTGACCACTTCTTCCATGATATGCTTGACAACTGTAGAGAAAAAAAAATTAGTTTTTCTGATACTTGGCTGTCTAAACCTAGAAATAATGTCCATTTGAACTAAGCTGTCAACATTTCAAGATCCTTAGGATAGCAGTATTATTTTATATACTCATGAAGAAATTTTTTTATTTGTTCACTAATATTCTTAAATTTATGTCATTCTAGAAACTTTATTTGTATTTATATTTGAATGTAGATCTGTGAACATAAAATCTCAGGTGTCAGTTTCAAGTGTTTAATCTTTTACTAAAATAACAAGGATGTAACTTTTGTAGGAATGAAATTATGACTCATGAATTAAATATATTTTGATTTTATGTATCTTTAAACTTCTTAAGGACTTTGTGTGCTTATTTTTTTATTGACAAAAACGGGATAGTTATTATGGTTCAGTGATTGACTTTGTGAAAGATAACAGTTATTAAGCACTAAAATTTATTATTACTGCTTTCTAAGAGGAATAGTGTCTAGATTTGATGATTATATTTTATCATATATTACTTGATGATTTATTATAAATATTATTTAAAAAACCATAGCAGATAAAATTTCATTTTTTTCCTAAATTAGATCATAATATCAGTAGCTTACATTTATATCATTTGCTTTTATTAAATAATTGTCTCTTTACCTTTATTAGGTTATTACCATTGGGAAACATGTTAAAGGGTACCACTACATCATTGCAAATCTGGTAGGTGACTTAACTGGTACTTATTATTATTAGATATGCTTATTAATAAAAACTTAGAGCAATCATCATTTATTAGTGGTATTTTAAAAATATAGTTTGTTTATATTTGATAGATTATAAATGACAATATATTTCCTATTTGTTATATTTTAGATTTACTTCCCAATTTCCATTCCCAGTCAATCTCCCATTATTACAAACTATGTAACAAGCTATAGAAATATGCCAAGCACAGTGGTACACACCTGTAATCCCAGAGGCTCAGGAGGCTGAGGCAGGAGAATCAGGACTTCAAAGCCAGCTTCAGAAAGAGTGGGATGCTAAGCAACTCAGTGAGACCCTGTCTCTAAATAAAATACAAAACAGGGCTGGGGATGTGGCTTGGGGTAAGTTCCCTTGAGTTCAAACCTCCCTACAACCCACAAAGCAACCACAAAAATAGCTATGTATAACTGCCTGGTGTGGTGATACAGACTTATAATCCCAGCAACTCAAGAGGCTAAAACAGGAGGATTGCAACTTCAAAACCAGCCACAGTAGTTTAGTGAAGGTCTAAGCAAGTTACTAAGACCCTGTCTCAAAATTAAAAAATAAAAAGGACTGGGGATGGCTCAGTGATTAAGTGCCTGGGTTCAGTTCCTAGTACCCCACCCCCCAAAAAAAATCTACAGAACAATATTTGACTTAATAAAATATATCTATATGGGAAGCTAATTTCAATTCAGGGGGAAATTTTTATAAATATATAAATTAATTGTCCAGGTGTTCCTTATTTTTCACTGTCAAATTAAAATTTACACTGAAATGACTGCGTGATTAATTGTATTTCCTTCTCAAGTATAATCAATTAATTTGGAATTATAAAATCTTTTTTTTCACAAAGGTTTTAGATCAGTAGTGAAATAAGCTTTGGCCTTTATTATTGTAAAATTTTATGATCTTTAATTGTATATGATCCTTTGTAATTAAGAACTACTCCCTGCATGCTCATGTATAATGTCCTCAGGAATCAAAGAAAAAGAAGGAAAGAGAATGAAAGCTTGTCTAAATAGCATGGTAGGAGTCTGGTAGAGTTTTTTTTTTTTTTTTTTTTTAATACAAATGTAGATTTATTTTATAGTTTCTGAAGTTCTGGATTGTATATCACAAGACATCATTTTGACTTGTGACAAGAAGAGGGAAAAAAAAACCAAAATTTATCAGCTTACCATAAATACTGTTTTCACTGAAGGTTGTATCAATGACTTAGGAATAATAAATTTCTAATCAACATGCTATTGGGAGAAGTTGGTTTGTTCAAGATGAGATTTGCTTAGTGATGAGATGACGGTCCAGTCATAAAAATTCTCTGTGCCAGATGGGGTGGCACAGGTCTGTAATTCCAGCAATTTGGGAGGCTGAAGTAGGAGGACTGCAAGTTAGAGGGCAACCTCAGCAATTTAACAAGGCTCTATGCAACTTAGTGAGACCCTGTCTCAAAACAAAAGGTAAAATGGGCTGGGAATGTGACTCAGTGGTAAAACACCCCTGGGATCAATCCCTAGTTACCCACCCCACCCCCACATACACACAAAAAAATTATCTAGGCTTTTTCCTTATAGTGTACTAAGGAGATCCTAAAGTACTTCCTATAAAAAAGTAAGAGTTAAAATAAATGAAATTCTGTAATAAGGCTCTTCAGAGCCACATTCAGGCAGAGAACAGCCTGGACAGCCAGTCCCTGTGTGAATCCTGCCATTTGATGAACAACACAGAGCCACATCGAAAGCTGTGATCTTTAAAAATGTCCAGATGGAGAAGATTATACTGGAACATTCAGAAATAATGACAGAAGGCGGCTCATCAATTTGAAAGTTGGTATCTGATGCTATGGAAAAGGAAATAAGTATTTGAATGTTGAATGACCAAAGTTAAAAAAAAAAAAAAAAAAAACACAAAGCTGCTATCATGCTTCTATGGAGAAATCTACCTAATACTTGATCTGAATTCAAGTTTTGCTTTTCCTTTTTTGAACACTTGATTTCCTCACCACCTGGAACTTCTAGTGAATCGTAATTTCAAAAGTCTGTATCATGCTGTCATTTCTGAGAATTTAGGGCATCCTCAGAAATTCCACTGACATTTAAAATTAAAGAATGCCATCCAAAGGTGAATGGCTTTAATCCAAATTCTTGATTGAGAATGTCCTTTTTCCCCCAGCCAGTGTCTGGAGAATGTCTGCAGAGTGTTAGAGGAATTGGTTATAAAAGATAAAGACAAAGCAAAACAAAACAAAAAAATCTTCAAAAACTTCAGATATCATTATTGATGAATTTCTTCAGCAATTGCTGAATCCTTGATTAGGCTTCTGAAACAGAGTCTGAGAATAAATTCCTGAAAGAGCAATTGAAAGGCTAGCTAGTACATAAAGTGCACATAAGGGCATCCTGTTTTCCTTTCCTCATCCCTTCTGCTGTCATGGATTTAACTTAATTATTTTAAAAATAATGTCTCTACAATTCAGATTGTGCCTTGGCTTCTCTGCTCTCATTCATTATCTCCTTTTCCTTCTGCTCCTCATAAATTGAAAAGTTTTGGACAGGAAAGAAGAAAACTTAGGGAAATGCAGATCCTCACTAAAGCCAGCTTAAAATCTTACCCATATTTGCAACTGAATTTATTGTTCGTAGTAAAATTACAGTAAAACAACAGTAAAAGGATAAAAATGTTTGAAAACCTAATGAAAAGGAAGGAGAAAATAGGAAAGAAAATACCAATTATGCCAGAAGTCAACAAAATTTTTTAGGACATCGAGCAGATGAAGGATGAATATGTGGGATAGCTAACAGAAGGAAGATAAAACTTAAAAAAAAAAAAAGTGCAGAGTGAGATAGCTAAAAAGAGGCAGCATTTACTGGCTTATAAAGCCCAACAAGGGTATTCATATGCACATTATTGAGGAAGCGCTTTCAGGAGCAATGTGTAAGTGAGTGAAGGAGGCAAGGCAGAGAAGGAAAGAGAGCTAAATACGAATGTGGTTAAGGTTAGGTTTAGGCTCTGTCTGAGCCCAGATCCCCTAGGACTTTCTGTTGCATAAATTGTATCACCTTCTTCCAACAGGAGACAAGGCAGAGACAGGGGCCTTTCTACCAGATTCCAGTTAGTTTTCGCCTTGACCAAGGAGGGAGTGGTTTCCATTCCAAGGCCAATTTATCTGAGAAAAGTTATGTATTTCGTGAACCATTGGCCAAAGCAGTAAAGGCCCACAGAGGAAGGGCATCACAGTTCCACCTCTGAGGTGGATTCCAGGAAACCAGGAATTATTAGGAACACCTGGGACAAAGTATTTGATTCAAAGTCCCTTGCAGGAATGATTGGACACCCCAAGTACTCATTCCACCCAATCCAAATAAACAAGTATCCACAAGCCTTGGTCCCTAAACCCCCACTTCTCTCTTGTTAATATACTTTGTAGAAAATATGAATTGGAGGAATTTGTGAGACTCAAGAGGCATGTGTTAAAAACACAAGACAACTAAATGAAAGTCTACAAGTGGAATTCTGAACCTCACGTCCCTCATCTGCCATCTGTCTCTAGAATTTGGTCACATATCTACACTTATGTGGAGAGTGGATGATCTGAAGAAACCAAATGGAGCAGATATAGGCAGGACACACTTCTGTCCACCCCACCCAATAATCTATCTTATAGCAAAGCATACTTGCTAATGAGCCTCACTCACATATATAAAAATTCCAAGAAACGTTCCAGGGTCTTAATCTGAAATAATCAAGCATGACTAGTCATTTGAGAAAAAAAAAAATTTTTTTTGCCATGAAGGATGCAATACAAACACAGGTGACATAGGAAAAATGTTCAAAATCAGAGTTAATATCTACTGCAAAATAAAGGAAAATACTTTTAACCCATAAAAAATAAAATGAAGAATAAAATCATTGGAAAGCTAATTTGTTTTATTTCTTACAATAGAAAATTAAATTACATTAATTGTAAAATAAAATTGAGAAAAACTTCTAGATTATATGACGAAAGGACAATAAGATATAAAATGGGAAAAAAGAAAACCTGAAAGAAACTTAGACATTTAATTTAAGGGTTACAATATTTTAATAATTGACTTTGTAGAAATAGAGAAGAGTAAAAATAGGGGCAGGGAATTATTAAAGAATTGTTTGAAAAATGTAGAAATGACACAAATCTCACCACTGAATAAATAATACAATAATAGAAGAAAGGATGAAAATGAGAATATCATCATGGAATTTCAGAGATTAAGAGATTTTAGAAGTTTGGGGCAGTAACAGGGAAGTAGATAGGAGCGAGAAGCAGGTCACATGCAAAAAAGAATTAGAAATGACTTTTTTGAGAGCAACAATGGAAAATGAAAGTCAACGGAATGATACATTTAAGTCATAGAGTGTTCAACTCAAAATCCTATTTTGAGCCAAAGTGCTAATCAAGTGTCAGGGTAAAATCATTTCAAATATAAAATGTCTCAAAAACTTTACTTCCAATGTGTTTTAGGAAACTATGAAGGAATCTAGTAGAAAGAAAGAATAAAGGAAAAAGGAAATATGACCCAGGAAATGAGATTTACTATAAAAAAAGAAGTGAAGGAACACATTAGGGTAGTAATAGCTGTAAAGTAGAAGGAAAGAGGAACCAATTCAGCTTGCAGCAGTAAGGAGGAGTCCTAGAAATTAAATATTTAGGATTACACTGAAATAGATTTCCTGATGTTTGAATATTTCTTTTGTAAAGAAGCCTTTCTTATATGTATATGAAATGTTTTCATGAAGCAACTGAAAAAACATAAGGTTAGGCATATAGAGATCTCTAGTAGTGAAGAGACGGTGATTAACATTCAGGTGAAATAATGCTCAAGGAAAAAAATGCAATCCTAGTACCTTATTTGACTTTGCTACTAATAACAGAGTTAAAAATATGTAAACAGAAAACATTGATCAAAATGGGTGAAGAGAGAAATGGTTTGGTTACATAACTGGGTTATATACTCATTTAGCATAAATAAAAACTCAACAAAAATATCTAAAATTAAGAAATTAAGAAAGAACAGTGAAAGTGTGTAATTAAAACAACAACAACAACAACAAAAAAACAGGTAAATTAGTGAAAATGAAATCATTGAAATTGAAGGCTTTGAAGCAGCTTAACTGGACCATGGGTGGGGTTGAACAGAGAATCTCTGATTTTTGTTATGTATGTTTTAGTGTAACTCTCTATATATGTATATATTTTCATATCAACAACAATGAAAATATTATATTTTTTTCAGTATGAGGACCCACACTTAATTCATGGCACTCTTAATCATTATGCACAATAATGAATCATTTTAAATAAGAAAATATTTTAAAATATGAATATTTTATAATTATAAAATGTGATATATTTATAATTGTGACATATTGAAATTGTGATTTTTATTTTTGATAATCAATTTGAGTCAAAATTCACGACAGCACAATATTTGAAATCAATGAAAATACCACATGATAGTTTTAGTAGTGAATGAATTCATTCTAATAATGTAATAGACATTGATCTTATAAAATTTAATATGTTCTATAAAATTAGTTTCAGGCTTAATTTGAAATTGTGTATTTTCAATTAAGCAATTGAGAACACTGACTGGGCATGTACCTTCCATTCTCATTTTAAAGATGTTTATCCCAGGCCAGGGAATGATCAATTTAAATAGGAATGACTTGACCACAAGGTTGCAGTCTTGAACTAGATTAATGTTAGTGTCTGTAACCACATGGCAGTGTTCTGTTTAGATTCAATAAATAAAGCTCATTCCTTATTAATTGATGGTCTCTCAATAAAATGGAGAACTTTTATACAAGGACTCTTCAGTACTTTATGAGACAGCCAATCATTAAGCATGGATTGATTATAAGGACCCACTGTGATACCTACATGATGTTAGGCGCTGGTGAGGAACTTTGACTGATAAATGCGTAAAAATATTTTTGGAGACTTTTTATCTCTCATATGTTCTTTAAAATATGTAAAGCCACAATGTGTAGAATTATTTGGGGAATGTTAAGTTCTACTTGAATGACATACAAATATTTTATGTCTAGGGATTTACTGATGGAGACCTACTAAAAATTCAGTTTGGAGGCGCAAATGTCTCTGGCTTTCAGATAGTGGATTATGATGATTCCTTGGTGTCTAAATTTATAGAAAGATGGTCAACACTGGAAGAAAAAGAATATCCTGGAGCACATACAACCACAATTAAGGTTTGCTTTTCATTTCTGTTTTTATTTTATTTTTTTTCATATAAGGGTAATGATGGAGTGTGGAAAATACAGGAAGGAATAGAGAGCCCAGATCAAATTTTGGTAAACATAATTTATTATAGACTGCTAAATACAGTTTTTACATTATGTTTAAGTTAGAAACAATTTCGTTTTCTTCCTGTTTGCAATTACCTGCATTCATTTATTTATCCATTTGGCTTTTTTATATTGAGTGGATTCTGTACCGGCACTTGGGTGACTTAAACAAACAAACAAAAAAAGAAATAAAATAAAGAGTCCTGTTTTTACTCACAGTTTAATGGAGGAAGGGCAATAGCCCTGAGAGAATAATGCCAGGGAGAAAGGGGACAGCAAACTGAAAGACACAGCAGGTGTCTTTCCTTGAATTAGATGCTCTGGGAAGGCCTTAGCTGAGGAGGAGGGAATTTTTAACATAAGACCTGAAGAATAAAAGGCAATTGGCTGTGACTTAGAAAATTTTGTTTGCAAGTAAATTAAAGAATAATAGGTGTCAATTTTCCCTTATTTATACAAAACTCCCTGGGAATCCTTTGGTCAATAAGCATATGGCCACATACAAAAAGAGTATTTATGTGTTTTGTGTGTGTGTGTGTGTGTGTATGTGTGTACAAAATAACTGCTGATGAATAGCCTAGACTTTGGCACCCTTTAGAAAGCAGACAAAAACCTCAATTACTTTAATAATGAAAAAATAAATATAATGCTTTATGCAATCAAACAAGTACTTCAGGAGTACTAGATGTCATTTGCTGCTGTGATATATGACCTATACAGATTCTGCTTTGCTCTCCATGGGTTTGGACACACTGAGGCCTTCACTTATTTATTTGATCAATTTTATGTGTATCGACACATATGCATGTGTTTACCTTCAAATGTTCTATGTTTCTGCTGTTGGAAGTAAGGTTTTTTGATTTTGTTTTTGTTTTCCTTTTTTTGTTGACCTTATTGAGAGCAGAGTTAAGTCTTGGCCAAGAGTGGATTGAGAAGTGAATGGACTGAAGGAAACATGCTGTTGACTTTCTAGAGATTTGTGACCATGACAGGCAAAGGGTGCAAAGTCTTTTCAAATGTGTAATGATTTTGTTTGTGTTTTATAAAGTGAGTTTTATATGAACCAGTTCTGGAAGTGCTATTTTAGTTGCTGTCCCCAGTCAACCTGATTATACATCATGGAGAGGGTATTTGACTATAAATTTTCTGGCTGTGAAACTGGTCCCAGATAAAGATTAGAAACTTTGATGTTCTCTATTTTGGGGTGTATAATTTAATCTTTTTAATTTTAAGTCAATTTCAGAGAAACATCCCATAGGATGTTAAAAAATAACTCTCAGTTAATTTTTTGAAGTAGATATCTTCCTGTTTGGTGGCCTTGACCGAGATTTAGCATTTAGGCTATTTACATGTGGTTTTCTAGGGATCTGCATGTAACAAAGCTGTTGAGAATGCGAATGGACACCTGGACCCTCAGTTAATGTGAGGTGTGTCTACCTCTGTGTCCAACAGAAGTGTAACTGCCCATCCCTTTACAATGGAACTTCAGGCTTCTGTCCATCAAGACAGGATACAATTTAAGTTCTCTGAAGAAGAGCACATGTGACGTGAACACTCCATTGGTCATTGTATTGTCCCCTTGTTGTTGCTGTGAAAAGTTTGAAAGAACATGAGATTTTACTTTTTCTCCTAGAAGTCATATCATTACTCAGGTTCATGTGTATTGCATCAAAATGTGTGGTATATTCAGGGCGCAAGAGCTCTTTGGCAATACATTCTGTTACCATATTTGCCAAAAGCCAATGCCAGATATCCCTCTGCAGGGAGCATACATGAAGACCTCCTTTTCTCACTTCCTGTGTAGCATTTTTCTTCCATAATGCATCCTTTTGGTGACTTCTAACAATTTTCAGAGATCATGATGGCCTTTCATTGTGCAATGTTGCAAAGAACATAGGTATATGAGTTGAAAAGGCTCTGAATCACTATTTGACCTTGGGTCCAGTTTTCTCATCTGTTCCATGCAGTCATAACTGTTAATTCCTAGGTTGCTGTGAAGATTAGGCCTAACTTTAAAAATAAAAAATGAAGCATAACATTAGAAGCATAGATACTAATACCTAAATATCTTTTCCCACTCCTGTCCTAAATGAAGGAACACCAGCCAATTGCAAAGTTATATTTCAGTTTTAACATGTTGTAATCCCTCTACTTCTACCTCAAAGGTATATTTTATAAGGTCTTTGAAACTTTAGAAAAATGACTGAAAATCTGTGGATAAAATGCATCTGTAGGTGGGAGTTCATCCTAACAGACACAGATTGCTCATGTACTAGAGAGCCAGGAATGGAATATAAAAATAGAAATGAAAAATGTATGAATCTTGCCCTTGAGAATCTACAGTCTTATGGAGGAGACAAACATGCAACTGTAATAGAGAATGATGCATGTAAAATGTGCCAGTTCTTTGCAGATGATTAGGACAGTCTGTGAGAGGGAAATTAGGGAAGAACTTCCGTAGGAGGGACACCAGAGCAGCATGGTTTATCAGGAAAATAAGTATGGGAGGGTTTTTTAAAGAGCAGCAGTACAGAGACTGGAAATGGTGAAACAGCATGACAGATTCAAGGAACTAGACAATTTTTTGCAATTGCAAGAACTTAAATATTTGGAACTGGTGAAAGGGACATGTTTGGGGAGTTGTCAGAGGTAAGGCTATTCAAGTGCCAACAGATGTAACAGGTAGCAGTTAAAAGCTCTAATAGTTCCTCCTTATCCATGATGGGTAAGTTCCAAGACTCCAAGTGAATAGCTAAGACCACGGATGGCCTCAAGCTCTAGATATATTTTGATTTTTCATATACATACATAACTATGATAAAGTTTAATTTATACATTAGGCATAGCAAGACGGATTAACAACTATTATAAAATAGAACTATTATAACAATATACTATAATAAATGTTATTTATCGTCTCTCAAAATGTCTTATTACACTGTACTCCTTTATTTTTTTTTTCTTGTGATAATTTGAGATGATACAATGCTTACTTGATGGGGTGAACAGTAAGGTGAATAACACAGACCTTGTGACCTCAGTGTACAATTTTTTTTCTTTCTTAATGAGAACATTCACCTTTTCACTTAAAGAAAGCACTTGACAGCTCCTCTTCAGCATATCCAAATTGCCAGCATCACCACTCTAGCACTTTGAGGACATTACTAAGTAAAATAAGGGTTAACTGAACACAAGCACTGCCATACCACAAAGAGTACAAGTGACTAACAGGGTAGTGTATAAAGCGTGGATACGCTGGACAAAGGCATGATTCACATCGTGGATGAGAACAAATGAGAATGTGAGGTTACAGCATTCTACTCAGAATAGTATGTGATTTATAAGTTATGAATTATTTATTTCTGGAACTTACCATTTCATATTTTCAGACCATGGTTGACCTAGGATAACTGAAACCATGGAAATCAAAAGCATGGATGTGGGAAAACTACTTTTGAGATTTTCTCTATTTCCATAGGCAGAAGAAAGGAGCCAAAACTGGAAGGAGCTATATTGCATTCTCTAAATATAAACAGTGTATTCTCAATATATGATTCACTTAATGAGAGCAAGCAGAAATATCTATAATGAGATTATTTCCAATGAGATTACTTTGTTTGATGTTGTTTTTTGGGTCATTGACTATATCAGGTACATTTTCTGGTGATTTAAATCACATTTTATTACTCTACAATAAAAAACTAGTGCTATAGGCACAAAAACTTATAAAAATATTGTTCATTATATCAAATTCTTTCCATGGTTGGGCTTAGGAAATTAAATCAAGTGGGAATAATAAACAAATTATTGTTTTAAAGTTTTAGTCTTCCTCAAAAGATAATGCAACTTCCATAGTTTCCTAATGAAAATAAATTTCATTCAATAAATCAGTAAAATATTAAATGAGTTGAAATATTTAATATATTTTAATGACATCAAATATAAATTGCAACATTTAAAATTCTTTATTCTTACATAATATACCAAAAATAACTGGAATAATAGCACTGAGATTTTATTTTATTTTATTTTATTTTATTTTATTTTATTTTTTGTGGTGGTGAGCATGAAACCCAGAACCTCTTGCATGCTAGGAAAGCCCTGTAACCCTGAACTACATACACCTTAGCCTTGCACTGAGATTTTAAATCTGACTCTATCTTTCACTAATTTGCTAATAACTTGGGATGATATTCATTCATTCACTCATTCATTTATCCATTCAACACATATTTGTTGAATTTCTACTCTGCAACAGAACCTGTTCTAAGTGTTAAAGAAAAGACAAAATTCTGTTCTTCAAGGAGTTCACAGTCTTCAGAACCAAACTCAACGATTCCCTTGTAGAACTGATACAAACTGCCTTACTGATATCTTAAACAGACATGTTCAAACTCAACTTTGGATTTTCCACCAGATAGTTCCTCCTAGCCTCTGCAAATGATTTCTTCCAAGTCATTCCCATCTCAGTTGATGACAATTCCAACCTTCAGTTGTTACTTTTCAAACTTGAAAATGACCTTGACTTCCCTCTTTCCTTTGCAGCCCACATCCAATCTGTCAGAAAATCCTATTAGCACTGCCTCATTTCTTACCACCTCCTCCACAACCACTCTCAATGCAACTATCATCCTGTCTCTGCCAGGATGATCCCCAAAGTCTCATAAACTGATTTCTCTCTTCCTACACTTCTCTCCATCTTTGTCATCCTGGTGGTTCTGTTCCAAATCCTCCAATGTGTTTCTGTTTCACTTGATGTACAAGTCATCCTCGTGGCTTAGGAGACCCTAAATGCTCTGTCACTTTGTCTCATATGACTTCCTTTCTCAGCATGGTCCCTCTCACTCACAGTGTTCCAGCAGCATTGGCATGCTTGCTAATCCTTAAGTGTCCCAGGGTATTTT